ATGATACAGCAAGGAATTTTCAGCATTCAGTGTAGTATTGCATCCAATTTACTCAAAAACGACAACAACAAAAAATAAATAAACGAAATAATCATTACATAATAATGATAAAAAAGGTTTTTATAGCAGCTATTTAGCAAATTACTGTAAGCAGTACAGGGAAAAATACGCATAAAGTATAAAATTATATTATACTGTGGATACTGAACTCAATCATAGGACAAAGCTGTCCATTGAAGAAATTATGTTAGGGATTCAGCTATGCCTAACATCTACTATCTTTAGATTCCAAGGCAAAATATATAGACAAACTGAAGGTGTAGCAATGGGATCACCAATATCCCCTATCGTGGCAGATATATTTATGGATAGCTGGGAAAATATGGCACTTAATACGTTTAATCCTACTCCAAAAATATGGTGGAGATACGTGGATGACACTTTCACAGTGTTAAAAACAGAACATATCTCTAGCTTCTTGACACACATAAACTCACTAGTGGAGGGAATAAAATTCACATTTGAAACCGAAAATGAGCAAGGAGAATTAGCTATGTTAGATTGTAAAATAAAACGAATAGAAGAAGGCAAACTACACACTAGTGTTTATAGAAAACCAACGCATTCTAATAGATATTTAGACTTTAATTCATCTCATCCTTTAACTGTTAAGGCAGGCTTAGTTAAGTGTTTAACAAACCGAGCAATGGCACTAAGCAGCACAAAAAAAGACCTAAATGATGAAATAAAACAGATAGAAGAGGCGTTGGTTCTAAATAACTATCCTCTAAAATTCATTAGGAAGATTGAAAAACGCCAAAAGAAAAATAAAAATAATTGTGAAACTGGTATTAATAACATAAATAAGAGAGAATATAAGTCATCTACAGTTATACCATATAAAGAGGGGACATCTGAGACCCTACGTAGGATTCTAAATAAAGCAGGAATTAGGGTGGCATTTAAACCTACAAACTCACTCAGGGACAAGCTCTGTAGGTTAAAGGACCCAGTGGACCCAATTAGACAAAATAATATAATTTACAAAATACCCTGCAATGACTGTGAGTTAAGTCAACTACATAGGTCAAACTAGTAGGTCAGGGGTAGTCAGATTGTCAGAACATAAGAATTTAGCTAAGGTAAGAATGGTTGACCCAGAGAAGATAAGTAATTTAGAAAAAAGCTCGGCAATTGCAATGCATGCATTAACACACAACCACACAATAGGGTGGGAGAGGCTTAAAATTCTAAAAAGTAATCTAGGTAGGTGGAGAGAGAGGTTGATTACTGAATCTTTGTTCATCGAATCTGCACCCAACACATGCAATAGGAATGAATCATCACTCATACCCGAAATATGGAAAATAATACCACCAATCAAATCAAGTGAAAATCAAGTGAAAAACAATGGAACCATATAAATGAATTTAGGAAGTCGTGTGATTACCTTGATATGATTATGAGCAATAAATTGTGCTCGAAACGTCATCAGTAAATATTACTGTATAACACTGTGAGACTCTATCAAAATAAAATTTACCCATAATGGAATCACACTCTACCACAGTGCCCAAGTTTTATTCTTATATCAATGATTCTTATATAAAATTATAGTAATAATAGTAATAACGACTAAAATAAAAATAGCGAAGTTATAATTGAACGATAGAAAGGGTGACACCATAAAATTACAGAAAGATGAACAATGAAAGGGTCGATTCACTATGCTAATTACATAGTAACTTATATGTTTCACGTCTAACAGAGTCTTCATCACATAAAATACGGGCTAAATACAGTATTGTAGAATTTTTGTACTTAGTGGTACGAGCATATAATTTCGTATATTGACTTCTCGTCCTACCTGATGAGATACAAGGGGATAGTTGTGAATAAAGAGGGTGCAGAGGGTCTGACAGTAGGGCCTTTGCCCACGTTGTACAGGAATTTACGTGTCTCTCGACTATAGTATTGGCGAGCTCACGCAGTGGCAAACCACAAGCCCTACTCACAGCATTTAATACCCGTCGTAATATGACATAGTCTTTTTTAAGAAGCCCAGGAAAGATTAATGCAACAGTAAAACATATCAAAAATTGCTAACCTGTCTTCAGGATTTTTTGGAATACCCAAATCACCACTTCTCAAGCGTCTGGAAATATCTTCAATTTGGAGCAGGACTACACGGAATAAGGTTAATACGGTGTTGAACACATACGTATATAAACTTTCTCCTGTTGAGGAGTGAGATTTGGAGGAAGCTGAGTTGGAATACCGGGTATGATAACCCGGTCTGTCTCAGCAGCAGACCATCTACTTTTACGTTTACGTGGAGTAGGATCTGAGAGAAACCAACTTATTAGGCATTGCATCTAAACTTACCAGGTGAGCCGTGTGGTGACCTACTGCGCCTACGTGACCTCGACGTTGACCCTTCTGTAATTGCTGGAATTTTTCTACTCATAATTCGCAAGTAATGCAGCTCTGTGGCTTTTTAGTTAGTCGATATATCCGGTGAAAGCAATAAATTGATGATTAATCGAGTCGAGTGTGCAGGGTTTGATTGGTTACAGATTTTTAACAGGGGTTGTTATCATTTCTGTGTACTAATGAATAATGTGAATGTGATTGGTGATGAGCGTGAGTAGGTGTGCCTTGCGTGTGTCCGTACACCTAATTAAAAAAATCAACCAATCACTGTCAAGTCACTAATCTTGTGACTTTGAAAAGCTTATTTCTAATTGAAGTAAATTCGGAGGATATTTTCAGATAGGGCAATTAGGCAGAGGGCACATTCATAATACGAAAGTTCTACTATATTGATCCAATTATTGACTGAATAGATATTCTTTATTTTTAAAGGGCATCAGCTACATCTTGAAATTTGAATCTTTATCGATCATACTTGATATGATATTTGCAATTGATAAATAATGAGGCTAAGAGAGAGGGAGAGAGTAAGATTTACAAAATCAATATACGCGATTCCGTGAAGAGACTTTCAACGAGTTTATTATTAATTGAAATAATATTACGAATTGAAAGGGAATATCTGTGATTAAGCCTCTAGGAAAAAAAATAGTTTATGTACTTTATTAAAGCACACCTCATGGAGTGAGTGCATAAATCTTAGATAGGAGTGTGGAAATGATAAGATTAATAGGCAATTAAAACCTTATGCAACAAAGTGAGGATACTGACAGGACAACGTTACTAAATACTATGTAGAATCAAATAACGGGTGGAAAATGAGACAATACCAGATAATGTCCAAAGTGAAAATAATAATAATAATAGTAAAAATAACAGTGAAGGAAATTTTAAGGGATGGATACGGCGAATGAATAAACCAAAGGAAGAGTGAATAGGGCGACGTTAGAAGTGAGGGCTAGATGAAAAATAGAGTGATTGAACTGGTGTATTTATTTTCTGCATACACAACTCTCTCTGTCTTTTCTGTTCTTCTGGTCAAAGCTTCCGCAATACACCTGAGTGGGACACATAGTGATTTTGGCAGGTTATTTTACGGCTCTTATAGGTAGATAGCTTAAAGGAGAGAGGTTGAAATCAAAATATGCTGTCTCAGTTCACAGTATCACATTCTTTTCAAATGGAATATACATATATATACGATTGTACGATTTGGTAATAAATTTGTTGTAAACAGTCTGTTTACTGGACCACTTGTTTGTCTTGATTTCCTTTATGTTCTGATGGGAGATTTCCGTGGATTAAAGAGTAAATCCATAACACCTTAACTTCGTCACCTTCGTGTAACTTCGACTAAGATCTACTGCTTTGAGAAAATCTGCTGTTCTGTTGTGATACTGTGGTGAGAGATGGCTGCTAGCCAAAGTTGGTAGACAGTAATTGACGTCAATGTTTAAATCCCCAATATCGGTGGTGAGAAAATGAGAACAAAGGCTTTGCATAGGCAGATACAGTTAGCATATGGATGATCTGACACAGCCACAAAGAGATGCAAGGTTAACTTTCTGTGAGAAACAACCAATCAAAAGACTGTATTTTCTACTAACAATAATCTACAATAATGTGCATTAAAATCTATGAATATGTGTTGATTTTCCTTGATAAACGATCTGTTGCCTGGCCCTTGTCTTCTGTTGTTACAATACTTACAAGACAAGGAATATTTTCGATTTTATGTTAGGTTTTCTCGGTTCACCGGTAATAACTATACACAGGTTGGTGAAATTAGAAAATGACTTTCGATAAAAATAAAAATTAAAGTACTAAGACTGTGTGTGGATGTGTGTGTGTGTGTGTCAGTGAAATGCATTCCAGATCATTGTTTCTGAAACACAACACTTGAGGATAATCAACTGATTGATGATGTGTAGAGATTTACCAGTAGTAATTAGGTAGGTATCTTGTCTAAGAGATAATTGTCATAATTGTCAGATGAACTAGTGCCTAACTGACAGAATGGTAATTAAGCTGATTCAAGAGAGCACCCCGGATAAGTGCAACTTGGTGGTGGTGTTGGAGGTGGTACTTTGTTAAAATTGTTTGACGACTTTAGTTTAGTTTCAGTCCCTATGAATATGGAATAATATTTCCTCTGACATGGATTACAAAAGGTCTGTTTTAGGAAATACAACTGAGATAACAACGATGGCTGCACAAAGTTGTACAACGGCAACAACAACTGCAGGTACTGTCGTCTTCTGCTCTCTAGACGTACTATACCTAGATGCCTTTCCTGCAACATGTTGACTCCTTATCCATAGTGTTGTTCACTTCCCATGATTGAGTCGATGATTAATTTTTTTGGAAATAAGACCTCTCGTAACAGACTATTTTATTCTTGCACACGTGAAGTGTTTTCATGGATATGGAAGTTTTATGCATGAAGACACACACACAAACACACACACGCACAGACATACTGTCTTTTGATTAGTTTGACAGTTGAGAATTTGAAATGTATCTATACATATCTATGTATGATATGTCTGGGGTTTTATCTCTCATAGATATTTGATACACTGATTGAAGCTGCTTATCTTGGAGAAATGACCAGCTGTTTCCTAGGTCCAGTCGATGTGGAAAACCAACCAGAGTCGAAATGTTCTGGGTTGATGTGCACTAAAATATTAGTGTGGGACACGAGAAAACAATTAATTTATGAGTTTCCTTCAGAAAAGTAAGTCTCATTTAATTGAATATTATTAGATTTGTAGTAGTGGTTGTTGTCGTAGCAGAGAGAAATTTCTTTATTATTCTACGTTGTATCACTGCTATGACTAGAAGTTTCCATCTATCTCTACAGCTCCCCTACATTCCATTATCAACTCTACTCTCTTCTTGGATTTCAGCAGGTGTCAGTGATGTATGTATGTATGTATATATATGATGGAGGTGAATGATTCTGAAACCGTCTGTTGATGTTTGTCATATATTTTAACCATGTGAAAAATAGTGGAGAGAAACTGAAACACCTTAAATAACCGACTTCTGCTGTTGGCTTATTCCACAACGGTTTGTTATTAATCTGTTGGTTGTTGTCTAACTTGACTACAGTGCGCCTCCGGACATAACACCATAGCCAACTGATCACTTGTAAATAGACCCCAGACTGAGGTAGACACAGAAGTCAGATTTGATTGTGGCAACCGCGACAATAACAACCCTTATTATTCATAACACAGAATATACATATCATTTTCACAGTCATGGAAATTTAAACCATAAACGGATAATCAATATCTAATGGATTGCATGACCCTGAAGATCCTCGAAAATGAATCAATCAAAAATTTTCCAATCAGGTTATTTTTGTCAGTGCGTGTACCGACCATATCCTGATGGCTAATGAAGATATTTACTCCGTCCTTACACCCGTCCTTTTATATAGTTTTTCAGTTGGGTGAAGGTATTTGTAGTTCTGGGTACTCTCTTTCCCATTTTAAACCTGATTTCATTACTGCCAGACATTCGATGCCTGTTTTGACTTCATTACTGAGCCGATTGATTTAACATGGAAACACCTAGAAGAAATCTGAAACCCCATACAGCAATCTAGACTATATGTGATATGCGGAAAACTCTGAAAGGATTGACACCAACGTAGAATGGAAATTATCATAGGCTACATGAATAGTGAAGTGAGTATTTCCTAATTTATTGATTTCTTACATAGGGTAATAGAAGGTCTAAGAGATACATAATGCTTTCTCAGATGCTTCATATTTGGTGTTTTAGATTATTTTCTATGGAAATAAAATCCTTATTAGGACTCCCTGCATTCAATTTAGCCAAACATCATCTGTATATCCACGAGCATCTATCAGGGTCCTGTGTGGTGTGTTTTTGCAACCGTCCCACTACACCAAGTAACTACTCGTACTGAGTGGGAAACTCTTTAGACATCACTAGTAAATGATGATGTGCTACTGCTACTATCAAATATTTAGAAACATGGTTTCGTAGGACACTCTGTGGATACATCATATATACGCGAACTTGAAATCACCTGAATGTCATATTAGTAAACAACTTAGCAATCCCCCTAGTGATATATTTGGTTAGTGTTTCATTGCTAGCACTGTTTTACCTGAGTGAACATTCGAATGTTATCAAGCATTGTTTTCACTCTCTCTTTTTCAGTTGGATTCTTCCCAAGACAAATACACAGGCGCATGAAGTTCACCTGACAGTCGGTCGTAAGTTAGTGATTGTTTTGTTTGAAGTAAATATTGAGTGAGTTATTACCAAATAGATGGTTTTCATGCATTAATACTGAACATAATGATAATATGCATAGGTGGACCTATGGAATAAGCACCTATGGAGATGATCATTCCTTTCTGCAACTTCCTGGAACTTATATTAGGGCTAGACAAATACTTTAATTTTATCCTAATTAGTCACTTCATCCTGTCACAATGGAATCAGTCATGGTTAATGATTTTGTCGAAGAAATGCGCATTTTATACACCTGTTTAATACTCTAGTTTCTCAATTAATCCACATAAGTAAAATACAATTTTATGAAAGAACTTTGTGTTTATCATATGCATCAACAGCTATGTGTACAAAAGGCACAATTATGTGACAGCTGTTTGAGATACGCTTTATTTCAAAATGATTCAGTAAGACGACGGACAAATATCAATATAAATATCCAGATTGAGTGAGCACTACGTGAACAGGAGTGAAAAGGAAGAAATCCTGATGAACAGGCCACATACAGCAGATTACGTAAGATTACGTAAAACTTTGAAGTCTAAAGATTAACTATCAGCAACATAAAGCAATATTTGCATTACGGACTAGCAATAATTGTGAATACGTCTCAATGATTACTTCATAAAAATAATCTCCAGATTATAATTTACTGTCAGATATCTGGCAAGAGTGAAGAAGAGATAGCACAGCCGATTGATTCTGAACCAAGCAATCAGGTTGCTCAAAACTACAAAGTGGTGTTTTCGTAGTCTTCGTTGTAAGGTTCACTTCGACTTGGGGTTAGTGTTACGGTGGTGGTTAGTGAAGGTTAGGGTTAGCGTCAGAGTGGGACTTGCAACGAAAATCATGGATGACATCGATTTGAAATACTGAGCGTCCTGACTATCCTCCTCGTCCTCCTCCTCCTCATCATCATCATGAATAAATATTCAGTCATGAAGTCAATGATTTATTAGGATTAGAGGATGGATGCTGAAACTGTTGCTGAAACGAATTCTATTGATGGAAACTGAGTATATCAAAATATGGATTAGAATGGCGTATTAAAATAAGGGGATATGTTTATGCAGCATATTGGAGCAATATACACTGTCTAGTACATTTTCATCATGCATGCATAAGTCTGTCTTGTGAATATACTTCTTATAATAAAATGTATCATTTCACTAAGATGAATATGATTGGCTGGTTCAAGGTCACTCGTCTGTGGTATCAATTCTTCTTCTCTGTTGCCATATATCTGAGTAACATATTACTTATGTTGTTACTTGAACATGTAAACACTACCATAGACGTCGTTCCATAATGGATAAGTTTATTTCAAATAAGACACAGTGATGCAGTGTAAATAACTGGATGACGTTTCGAGCACAGGCTTGTAAATGACTGCCAAGCAGTAATATAAAACAGTCAGTATTTCATTGATAGTGAGAATGGAAGCTGGTGATACTCCTCTCAACTCAACCACTTCACCCTCAATTTCAATATTAATTAAGATTCAAAGAATGCACTTACAAAGTGCAGCACTAAATTGTCGTCATCAAGAGATTATATTATCTTAACATGTTTGTCGGCGTTGGGTTTGAACAGTCTCACATGGGTTCAATGACTATTCTAGAAACGAGAAATCAAATCAGTAGTTTAGATACGGAAAACACTTTTTCTTCCGGATAGAAGTACAAGAGATTATATGAAACAATAGGGAAGAAAACGATGTATTCTAGGCTTTGTGAATAGATCATACAATTAGGGGGTTATTACACGTCCTACCATTAGACAAAACTACTGCGTTAAGATGGAATTGACAAATACTTTATTGTGAATACGTGAGCTTAATTTCAATAGACTGACAAATGCTACCACTACTTCCACATGTTCGATTATTGTTTTTCGACCGCCTACATTATGATCATTGCCAAGAATTTCGCTGAGTAGGGGAGATTCGTTCACCTTTGATTCTCAAATCACTCCAGAATTCAATAATTAATCTGTATCACTGTTAGGCCAGCTTGTCTGGCCTGGTAACGTTTCTAGTCTATTCAATTCAATTCAAGTCATCAGACATCTCAAGTTTTCATCCGAGTGACTGCAACGGGTATAAAATGCAAATTCCCATATTCCCGCAGATACGTTTCGACAACGTGAATAGGTGGTAAGATGAGAGCTGAGGAGAACTCTGATTATATTCATTTTAGGTAGTTAGTTGTCCTAATTAATGGCTACCGGCTGGAATATATATTTGTACAGTGCGACGTTATTTACCTGACTAGTCAGTGACTTGTCTGCATCACAAAGATTCCTATTATGTAACTGTATGATTGACAGGAAACTGAGTGACATGAAGTAAGTTTACATCAGAGGTTGACATCGACTGGTAGACTGCAAAATAGCTGCTGGGCAAAATGAACTTGTTTTTTATTGTGGTCATGAGTTCACTTGACTTGTTAAAGTGGACTGAGTGGTACTTACACCAGATAATGATAATAGCACAGAGTTAATCAACTGAACATTGAAAAATATGCAGGGTTAGTTAGTTCTACTTACAGGAGCTGAAAGATTATGCATGCATTCCTTGAGCAAGCTTTTCCTAGACTGACAAGATTTCCACTATCATTCCTTTCTCTACACGTTTGACTAGAAAAAACCATTCCATTAACACGTATTACAGTTGTATAAGCCAATACAATGGTGATTACTATGTGTAGATGTAAAAACATCATTCATTGAAAGCAACAGACTATATACTAAGGCATATTTGTGATGTTTACATGACTCCATATTGGTTGCAGAAATACATTCTATGGAATCATATGCAGAAAAACGTTGGAAAGAAATTGAATCTAGTAAAGGGAATCAGGTGGACAACCAGTTTGAAGGTGAGTGTTAAAAGTATGAGTTTGAAATTAAACAGAACATTTTCAATTTCTTAGTATACATCCTATGCTGCAGGAGGTGCAGAGGTTTTCGTTTTGTATGAAGACACTCAGACACTGTGGTGCGAATTCGCCAACTAGTGTTCATTGATTTAGGCACTGAATTTTCAACTGGTGGATCACGAGTTCGAGTCCAACTCAAACTATTTCAATCTGGGTAATTGGATGGTATCATCACGCCTCACATAATAAGTGTGGCCTTCAGCCAGTTACATGAAAAATTCGCTCCGGATAATTGAGCTTTTGGATGGAGTCATCTGGAGCTGACATATCGCCGGAATCACTGAAATGTCTTCTATCTACTTGTTGATAATAGTCTGTTGACAATGTGTAAAAGTAGTAGCCATCAAAATCCAATAAACCTGCAGAATTTCAAATTTGTCAACTGAAGCTCTAGTGGTCTTATTTCGGTCCAGGCTCAGCAACCATCGCTTTAGATATTGAAGTATTTTCGCATGAGATAATGCGTTGTGAGTGTTGTCATTTATCTCATTGATCAGTGGGGAGGGGTCGTGTCATTCTTCTTTGTTCTAACATAAAATACAGTCGCATCTTTACGAATCGGAAACATTCATTCCCTGATACGAATTTAAAACAAGCGACAAGGGTTGATAAATCAGGATTGAAAGAATTCATCAAATTTCGGTAGAACTCTTCAGCCGAATATTCTACCTACTGAGAAATATGTACTATTAGAATTACACTGGGAGATATAAAACTGACATAAGACTGACTGATGGATATCCTGAAGAGTTCACTAATAAATACTCAAAATACATATGCCCCAGTAGAACTACCAAAATAGCTCCAAAGAAGTCTGTCTATATCAGTTTGCTATTCAAAATAGATGATGCACAAGAAATAATCGGGCGGAGACTCGACAAGACTATCTCCAGGACTTATTATTGCCTCAAGTCTCGTCTTCCTTAACGTCACCACTAAACGGGCGCTTCAATAATCTGGAAAAGGCCAGTCGCCAATCCTCGACACTTCAAACTGCGCATATCAATCGGGTAAGTGTATTTGTGGAAGCAAATACACAGGTCGCGCAGCAAGGCGATTTTCTACTCGCATGAGGGAGCATTTGCCAAAGTAATTAAGGACAGGTGAAGTCGGAGTGCCGAAAAGTTCAATAACAAAGAAGCACCTTGTGGAGTACGGGCATGATATTGATGGTGTCAAGTCATCCAGTATTGTCAGCAGACAACGAGACAGGAAGATGCTCGTTATTGCCGAGGCTTGTGAAATTTGAGTTTGTAAACCAGGTGTCTGTGTATAAAAGCAAATGGTAGTCACTCTGAATCGACCGTGGTAATATGTTTTACTTACTAGCTGTCATTATCAGTATAACAATACTTTATTCTACCTCTTACTTTCATTATTCCTGATTCATTTAAAACTATCTTTCATCAATAGCATTATCCGAACTCATTTTGACACTGTTGTCACTAATACTATCATTCACTTCACTAATTGTGGTGGACTGGATTATGCATCAGACAGTGCGAAGCGAGAAGACCGGGATATCCTGGACCGACGTGAAGAACCTAGAAGACCTGGATTTCGCGGATGATTTATGTCTGGTGTCACACAAAATCGAAGACTTACAAGCGAAAACCGACAAACTGGTCGAAGAAGCAGCAGCGACAGGACTCCAGGCGAACACTGACAAGACGGAGGTTATGAAAATAACCAACCAACAGCAACAACATCCAGCGCCAATCACCATCAACGGGAGGGATTTGAAAGAGGTTACTTCATTCACTTATCTAGGGATTATTGTCTCAATTACAGGGGGAACGGATGAGGATGTCAAATCGAGAATCGGGAAGGCGAGAAACACATTCATCAACCTGAAACCAATCTGGAAATCTTCGTCACTCAGCCTGCATCAACAACAAAGTGATTCAGATTTTCAATACAAACGTCAAGTCAGTCAGTTCTTCTATAGGGATCAGAAACTTGGCGGGTCACAAAGAATATTTCCAACAGCCTGTTGCAGACCTTTATCAACAACTGTCTTCGCTCTCCCTATACTGAAGATCAGATGGCCGGAAAGAATCACCAACAAGAAACTATGGGAACAAACAAAACAGGAACCAATCGCCCAACAAATATGCAGGAGAAAGTGGAGATGGATTGGACACTCGCTGAAGAGGCCACTGGGTGACATCGCGCGTCAGGCCATAGCTCGAGTGGAACCCGAAAGGGAAGCGGCGAGTGGGACGTCGGTGCAAGGGTGACATGGAGGAGATCGTGTAAAGAAGAGTTGAAACAGTATGGACTAACATGGATGCAAGTGAAAAGTACAGCAGAAGACAGAAGCAAGTGGAGGCGTGCAGTTGAAGCCCTATGTTCCACTAGGAACCCAAGGGAACAATAGTAATAATAATAATAATACTTCACAATTCTTGATGTATTTAAGTTCTTTCTCTGATGGCTAATTGTCTATTTAAGTGATGGGATTGAATCGTGATGTATTTTATCCTAACTTTAATCTCTCATACTCCCTTCCACTTATCTGTTTGAGCATGACCTGAAAAACATTCACACGTGTCGTTTTTCATGATTAATTCAATGAAGATAATTCAATTTTCAATCTTATATCTCCCTAAGCAATTCTAATAGTACATATATCCCTGTATGTAGAGTATTCAGCTGAATGGTTCTGCTGAAATTTGATGAGTTCATTCAATCCTGATTTATCAAGCTTTGTTGCTTGTTATAAAACACAGTGTCGGCGAGTTCCTACTGGGTGTACAGGCTCACTTCACTGACGATCACGGTGTTGCCTGCATTCGACTCATCTGTACGAAAAACGCCCATGTTCTGCCATCAGATCTTAGCCCACTACGCTCTCTAAATTTAAAAACTAAGCAGAGTGGAATTTCCAGTAGTCGAGCTCATTTAGAGTGAAGAAGCTGTTATAAGCTCTGTTATCAGTACTCCTCACTTCTTAATATTATAAAGATAAATTTAATCAATTCTCAAAAACCTAAACTTGTCATCAGTGGCTCAATATAATCTGGTTCTGGCGGTTAACTACAGTTTGACAGCCGAGTCATACAGCTTGTGTACTAGGTGAATTCCCATGTCACGCGATGCTGACTATTTGGTTGGTACTGAAACAATGCACATGATTAGAAGTAAGCAGAAGATTGGTTAGGAGTCGTCAACAGTGGGTGTTGCCAATCCTAAAAGACGGCTTCTAAGAAGGCTCTGTTCTCAGCTTCTCAGCCCTCCACTCATTAGCCTAACGAGTAAAGTAGTGAGATTTCTACTTCATATCAGGCAAACTGGTTGTTCAAGACAGGGCGTATCCATGGCCATTTTCTCTCAGCTAATCTGGTTTTTAAAAGTAACCAGTTGGATGAGTCAATGTCACTTAGCCGATTCGCTACTCAGATAGTCCAACGGTAGCATCCTTGATGTGGTAAATTAGGAGTGTTTTTAATTAAAGTGTCCTATCAGATGGACTAGACTGTATGCCAGTGTTTTGTACTGAACGTCGGAATAGCTGAGTGATTGCATCAATGATTCCAGGAATGATCGTAGGGATTTGATGATAATTTTGCGTAAATCTTTGTCACGTTCTTTCATTACTTCCAGCTATCGGAATATTGTTCACTAGAAAACAGTAAGTCAAAATCATCAGGTCGAGAAAACAGCCAATCAACCTTAGGCAAGTACTATGAAGAGTATAATATCAATTAGATAGAGAAAAGCCTTTACATTAAAAGAAATAGTTGATGAGTAAAATTCTGTTGAAATCTTTGTTTAGAAGAGCAAAAGGAAGAAATCTGCTTCTACTACCAGAGTCAGTCTTACCACAATCAACTTAGTACAGGTGATAATGTGACATTTGTGTTACTTTTGATTTTTAGGTCATCAATCGATTTACTCTACACTAGATTTCTTCTTACAATATCTTTTATTCTACTGAATTCATTTAACAACCAAACTACCTTTAAGTCTAAAAATAGATAAATAAATAAGTAAATAAATAAACAAGTATTGATCTCTGATGAGAAGTGCCTTGATGAAATGAATGAATTTCCTACACATCATCATCCAGTTGGATAAATATCCCGTTTCATTTTACTTGCTTTGCTTAGACGTCACTATGACTGAAACCAAGGTGTCAAATTCACCACAACAAAGTGAAGACTGTATTGGGAAAGAAAATACAACTGTGCTAAACGAAGGTGAGTTGTAGTTAGTTCACAAAATATGCAAAACTTGAGTGGTTGCAAACTGTGCATGTTTTCATTTAGGAAAATATTTGCAACACGTATCGTCCTTGGTGGTAAGTTGATAAATTATGTACCCGTTATTCTTAAAATATCTTGGTCACTGAGGGACTGACTGTTGACAGCCTTAATCGATAGTGAAGCTTTATCTGCTTAGATGTCTTGGTTATGTATTAGACGTGACAAATCACTGTATGCATAAATATATCCAGATATTCCATGTTTAGGAATGCTGTATGCAAAACAAGTGTCAGTTAGGCAGTGAACGATACAACTGTAACTATAGTTTGAAGTTCTTCAAACTTTGATGATTTTACTGGTGGAAATTATATGAAAACGATAGTGTCATGAGTGGTGTCTCCCCTCCAGTATTGATGTGATTTCATACAGCCATTAATAGTCTCTGTGAGAGATTTAGCATAGGGTGTCCGTGTGTTGAATCAGTACACTGAAGTAGTGCACATAGTTAAACTGTGTCGTTGAAATTGATGACTATCATTCATTCTGTATTAGCTAGATTTTTCAGTGGTCCATCATCCCAGATCGATAATAACTTTTCTCAAGCTATTTCAAGCGTTAGTTCCGAGTCCATCACTTGGAGCTTATTTCTGTCTAGCGTGGGATGGAATCTGGTGGTTGTTATTCTCCCGTTACGTGGAAATAAACCTCGTGACTTCTGAAGCTGAGCAAGGTGTAAATTATGCTGGCACGTAAATCGTGATCAACAGTAGATTATACCTAGACACAATAAATGTATAAAAACTGCGCTAATATGTCTATGATAGGAGAGATTTTTATCAGCATTTTCAAATTACCTCATCAAGCGAAACTTATTGGCGTCAAATTTAATTGAGGTGTTGTTGGTATAAAATAATTCTCTGTTGATAGTTTTGTTCAGACTACAACAAGGATTAGAATGCTAATCAAACTGATAAACTACTCTTTCTTGATGTGTTGATGTCGTGTTTGTAATCTGGCTAGAGAAATAGCCTGTTCACCGACAACTGTACTGTATACATTTCAGAAAAGTATGACAGATCAGTTGGAGTTGTAAATACAGTTGTATGTGTCCTTTTGACATCATACGACTAAATATTGATTGGTTTTACGCGTCATCTTATCATGACTGAGATGGGGAATTACTAGATAGCAACAATTTGTAACGCTTGATGAGAAATTCATGAAATTATGTATCTAAGGAGGTGAGTTGTGAGTTCGGAAAGCTCACTGTTAACTTCTTTGGCTGCAAGACTAGGTGACGCATGTTCAGGTCTCCGAGAGGGTGTCACTTCCTTGGCGGTCACAGATAAGCCTTGCCAATAGACTTGAAATCTATATGCAAAGCATCCTGCAGATTGTCTCTGGTCAGTGTTTGCCAATATTTCATGCAATAGTCAGGAAGTGTTCTTATTATTCATTTGAATTGTCACTAAACAGTAACAGTGGAATCTGATAATTTAACTATCCAGTTTGAAGTGATCCAGAGAAGCGAACATCGAAAGATGTGGTTCTCGGGAAAGTGTGGCGATCTTCATGAGGTAACTAGAGCTTAATGATCTTTACAAACGTTTTGGATAAACAATAGGAAGCCACCTAGGTCTCATGACTGTTACCATCACTAAAAGATACATTTTAGTCCTAAATAAGTAAGTAAATAATCTGTCTCGGGCTTAAATGCAACAAACAGAGAAATAATTCGAACAGTTGGTGGTGGTGGGGGTGTCTTTGTGTGAGGCAAATCAAAATTTGAAGAGCTCATTGTTAATGTTTCTTACCGTACCGCCCAACTTAATTCACAGATTGAAGGTAAGCTTTTCCAGTTGGGTTGGCGATATGCTCAATAGATGGATACGAAATATGTGATATCAAGACATTCATGTGACTTTAGTTGATTACTGAGCACTTAGTTTAAGATATCGCAACTTTGAAACATGGTTATCTCCATCGTCACATTACATACACTTTGACTGCTGTTCACTCACCCAGCCTATGTTTGAATATGTCACAGTCGACAACCCTACAATAATCAACAGCATCTTCGTCTATCTTGAGAGGTCAATCTGGTCTTTTTGATCAACTCCATATTGCAATGAAAGTGACATCTTCTGGTGAGTGGTTGTGCATCACTTGAGAAAGAAATAGCATAACGTATAGTATACTTAATTCTTCTGACCTCAACTGAAAAACAATGAACATGAAATTTCAAGTGGGGATAAGACGATGTCATCTTAATTTGTAAGTTATCATCCACTGAACACAGCCCTATTAAAATATATACATATATATGTTTGAAGTAGATAAATGCGGACTAACTCGAACAGTCATTATATGAAGTCATTTTACCCAATAGATTGTGGCGATTACAGCCACATAGTGTACTGAGTAAACTGAAATACTTGATGAACGTGTGAGTCTGAAGACTGCTACACAATTTTTTAGACCTGTCAACTGTTCAAGTCAGCATCGAATCGTTACCTTGATTTGAGCAGAGTGTATGAATGTATTCAAAATGGATTATTAGTGACGAGAATCAATGAAAGTTCAGGTAGACACTTAGCGTTACCAAAGTGCCGATAGTCAATCAAAGAAGATAAAATAACTTCCATGTACTTAATAAAATGTGATGCAGAAGGACTACCCACTTTTAGGAATCAGTAAGACAACGATGATAATCGATCTTGTCCTCATTTGGATGTAATGAATAAATCTGCATAATGATCACCCGTAGTACAGAAGTGTTATGCAAGCAGAACACTATAGACTTGATCATCCTAGTTAAACGAAAGAAAACAACATTCACTAAACGGTGAGTCGGTTTGAACTCCGAAAAGGTGATAGTAGGTCACAGGTATTTAAACACTTAAGATTTACTTGATTGAAGGGTGTGCTGATGATGAGCTACAGATCCTCCTCTATGCCACTGTTCATACTTGTCGAGGCTACGTCGATTTCTGATTACAAAGGTGAACATGTAGTCTTCTTGGTGATAGCTATTCACTAAGTGTATGTCGCGTTCTCCTCAGCTATCATGTATGCACCTGTCATAGTGAAATCAAAGCATAAGCTATCAGGGAATAGGTGGTTTTATAAAATGGTACATAGGTGGAAATAGGCTCCTTTATTTTCAAATCGATTCATTCATACAAAGTATTTGCTTTTTCTGTTACCACTGCAGTGAATGCTGACGTGAATGAATTCAGCAGTGAAAAATTACTTGGGGATCTAAGCTATGCCACAGAAGATGAGTTGAAGATCATACGTGATGGTAAGTCAACTTCGTAAGACCTCCACCTTTCTTTGTATGTGTTTGGACGGGCAATTTATCGTTGTTGGCCATGAGGTTATGACTGATGCACCAATGATGTGATGATAGGCTGATCGGACAGCTTTTGATTGGTTTATTTTTGGCTTAAACTTCCGACGATTCTTTGACTATATATGCGCTATGTTTTGAATAATAAGACAGACGAAGTTAAAGTACATAGCCAAAATCAATCTGACCTTGAACAGCCAATCAGAATTCGGTTGCAAAGATGTGGCATATTCGCTAAGAAATTTATTGAAAAGATTTGAAACATGGTGTTGTCTCTAATCATTGAAAAATGTCCACCAGTTACTCCAAGAATCATCCATTAAGAAGTCATAACATGTGAGATATATGTGCTCGTCTAGGTGACTGTAAATCATGGTACTTTGGGATCCACTGATATTCCAAACTCTGTTCTTCAACCTTCTCCTAGACCTAGAGCTCAACAGAAAAGTATCCTTGGAATCAGTGGAATACTGTCCATACTCTCACTGACTGATTTTCTCTTATAGCATAAACTGCGTCTACAGCAACATTTATCTTCCACATGATGGTATCGTCTTATTATCATAATCTCGCGCACCCACTCACACACACAAGTCTTTTGGAATTCAGTTGATCACTTATTGACACAGTCGTCAAATACTCGATCTTCATGGAATTCATTCAGCAAATCCATGAATACAGGCTTGGTCCTGATATGGAATGACCTTTCTTAGCGTCTTCTAATCCTGATTGGTTGTTCTAGGTAAATGTTTGACAGATTTCGACCTTGGCTGTGATACTTTAACTTCTGCATGACGCGTTGTTGCTATTGTCGTGATTGCCGTGGTTAAATCTGACTTTTGTGTCTACCTCACTATGGGAATATTTTCAAGTGATCAGTTGGTTATAGTGTCATGTCTAGAGGTGGATTCTAGTCAAGTTAGGTGATAAGCAGTAATGCGTGATACTCCGTTGTAACAGGATGCAGTCAATTTTAATGGGAGGAATATGTGAAGATGAAGGATATTTCCTGAAATGTAGTCACACTCAAACTGCTCGAGTTGTCTGCAATTGAAATTGCATAGTATTCAACTACTCATTTCTATTGAAATCACCCAGTCTTCACCTTTACAAATCTAATTTTCAGTGAGATTTCTAACTTTATTATGGAAGCACTTTCAAAGGTTGGCCTTATTGCTTGAAACGTCCTGACAGTGAAAAGAAAGTATTTGTTAATGTCCTCTTGTTGGTACATGGTTACTTCGAGGGTTTAGTGGAGATTTTCATTCTATAAGTAATGGAGCATGAAGTTAGTCGGTTTACGAATATCACGGATGTTATCTCGGAAGCCTCCGCATCCTCCCTTGTGTGGTAGGCCAAGAACAAACAAGAAGGAGAGGAATGACACTCAATTGATGACATAAGAGAATAGTACTTCTGACTGAGCATCCGTCATTTAGTCGCAACTTGCAGAGTGAAGTGCTAGAAATCGTGTGACTCGCTGACTTGAAACATTCTAGATTAGCCTCAAAGTCAAAGGAAATAATGATCACGCTGTGTTCTACCAGTATTTTTAAAGCGATATACTATGCCTTATGGGATTAGATCCCTGATAACTCCACTCCTTTTTCCATCCTCTCTTTATCCATTTTCTATCCGTCATCTCGGCTGGTGCCCTGAATACTGTTATCATAATGACTTTTTCTTCGCTATCCGGGTGGTTTAAGCAACAAATCTCTACTGCACTCAGTTCCTAGTCATCAATCCACCCGGCTTCATGACTGCCCACAAGTTTTCTTTTGTTCCTCACATGACATCAGTGTTATTCTCGGACGCTGGACTTTTCGCTCCCCATTCGGTTTCCGCATTATGTCATTTGTGGGTCTCCTCAGTGTATGTATGTGTGTAGTATGTATGTATGTGTGTATGTGCAATTCATTTCTATTTCATTCTGTACATTTCTTGAGCAACAGGTTTTTATCTGGTTCAGTGCCAGAGGTGCTTGCAACTCATTCTTTCTTACTGGCCATCTGATCTTCATTGTCCAGCGAAGGTTGTCTTTGATGAGAGTCTGAGAATGCTTCTGGCGACACCAGCGCCAAGTCACTGAACCGCATAGAGACACTGACTTGATAAGGTCTCCTACATGATCCAATCCACCGCAGCCAGAAAGACGTTCAGTGATGTTCGACAACTTTATCTTAATCTTGTCTTCTTTCTAAAGGCTTTGCTTTTCCATAGTGAATCACTCAGCATATGCTATGATCATATAACTGTTGAATGAATAGTATACAAGTTATTGGTGGTCTTGAAGTCTGTGGTATTGAAGTAGTTGTCAAAATATTTCGCGATCCACGCCGACTAAGGCCTTTTCAATGTCAATGGAGCAGAGGTAGACAGTTGAATGTTACGTCCGATGATGATGTGAAGTGTTGAAATTCGATCCGTAAATGACTTGTTTGCATGAGTCTAATGCATTCCTGGTGAAGTTTTTCATCCAAAGTATCTACAAGTTGTTGTTGGATGATGTGGTTTAGTATTTGCTTGCAGTAGTCGCATACGTTTATGTCGATGTTCTTTTGCAGTTTGACGAGTAAACCCTTCTTCAAATCGGTAAGTACCCATCTATCCTTCCCTCCATATCTTTTGTAGTAATGGCATAGGCATGTCCATTGAGGTCTCTGTGTCGATGAATCCTGTTCATTTTTCGTCAGTGTCCTTTATCTGCCTCCGTCGTATGCATTTTTGTGCTAAGTTGAATGTGTCGTTTCTGTGACATAAGCCATCTGACATCTAAAAATTAACAGTGAAGTCTACATCTCTGCATATTTTGTCAAGCAGCTTTTTCAGTCACAGTAGTCATTTGTTGTCATTGATGTGTTTCTTCTCTACCACATTATAACTGTTGTACTTTGTTTTCTTACTATTCTGGTGAATACATGCAGTTTTGACATACCTGAGAAGGCTGATTACTTACTGGTTATCAGTTATCAGTTAAAGCGTAGTTCAATATTCCAGAGTTTGATAACTTTACATCATTTGTTAAAATAGCCGTGTTGGCTAGGTACTAGTGTTGGAAATCCCGTCGGGATCTACGAACGCAGTCAAAGCCAGGAAGTAGACCAATCTCCCAATAATAATAATAATAATAATCAAATAAATAATAATAATAATAGTGACAATAATAATGCCCACCAATCAGTTCATCATAAAATAATACTTTGTTATTTTCCTTCTTTTTCAGCACGACTATTCGTATCTACTATAATTCGAAAATCAGAAGCTAATCTACTAGTTTTTGAAAGTCAGGGTAAGCTACTTATGCTCACAGCAGCTTCTAACAGGCATGATGTGATTCTTTTATTATCATCAAGAAAACATGCCTTAGTCACTACCTCTTTTGAAACACTAAAAGGGGAAATGCAACTAGAAACAAATTCCAGGAATACTGCTTATAGACAGTAAAACACCAAACACTAGTCACCTCATCAAGAAGAGGACATTTGTCCCTTGAAGACAATTCACAATCGATGTTACCTGAATTATCTTAAACGGTCAACTGCTAGAAAACAAATAAAACATTGTGTCTGTCAGTACCATAAGAACAGGCTGAGGTGATCCTATTTATCCTGATCTAATGTATCAGGTGAAACGTGTGTTCATCCTAGACTCACTTCACATGGTCGACTAGACTATTGAGACGACTATCAAAGTAATGCTGACGAAATTGAAGAAACTTGAAAATGACAAAAAAAATAAGTGCTTAGTAATATTCATTTACTTACTCCTGACACCCATCAACCTTATTAATTGAAAGATGAGTTTCTGTGTGTGTGTGTGTATTCTCCTACTTAACAGTGCTAACCAATAATGACTGCAGTTTACCCATACACGCACACACAAGCACCCACGGTGCAAACTTGGTTGTGATAGTGATTCACAAATCAAATGTCACACAGAAACTCGAAGATCTACAGGCGAAAATCAACAAGCTGGCAAAGAAAGCAGCGAAGATAACACTTCACGTGAACATAGAGAAGACAGAGACGATGAAGATACCTAACCAACTAACTAGACAACGAACGCACGAAGGGACGAAGAGACGAAAGTTCGAGAGAAGGGACGGATAGGGATGTCAAAGTCATAAGGGGAATGGCAAGAGACCTTCATTAATCTGAAATCAGTCTGGAAATATTTTGCACTCATCATAAGAAAGAGACCTCGGATTCTCGACACCAATATCAAGTCAGTCAGTGCTTCTGTGTGGGTCAGGCACTAGGTGGGAGCGTCACCTGAAGCATTTCCAACAGGTCGCTGAAGACTTCCATAAACAGTTAGTTACCTTCGCTGGCTCCATATTGAAGATCTGATGACCAGTCGGAAAGGATGAGCAACGAGGAATTAAGTGGGAACGAGCCGACCAACAGCCTGTTGCCCAACAAATATGTGGAGGGAGATGGTGATGGATGGGTCACACGTTGAGGAGAGCGTTGAGTGACATGGCGTGCCAGGCGATGGCTCGAGTGGAGACCGAGTTGGAGGCGACGAGTTGACTGTGGGTGGGAGGGTGACATGGAGGAGATCGTGTGAGGAGGAGATGTGAGTTTATTGGCAATGTTGGATAGAGTCAAAGCGGAGTGTAGAGAAGAGGAAGAAATGGGGACGAGGTGTTGAAGCACTACTCCTCACTCGGAACCTAGGTGTATCATGATAATAATAATAATAATAATAATCAGAAAAATAAAAGTAGTAAAATTTGCATGATGACCTAGTCGACACGGTGTAAGTTTGGATGTACAATCTTAGGGGTCGACCTCTATTACATATCCCTCTTTCCCAGAGTGGGGAGACAGCAAAGCTGGCCTGTTTATTGTCCAACGTGAACACCTTATTGCCGTTACACGTGCACTTATCAGGAATACAAAATCGCCCTCATACCCTTAAGATAGAGTAAACGAATCACACTATTACGGTAAGTGTTTCCAGTCTAATGACTATCCAGACCACATTTCTGGCATAGTAGAACCTTAAGAACATTGGTTACAGCCTGTGTGGCTAGTTAGGTGATTGCGATATGCGACCTCGACTACTGGCTCAATGTGGGTTTCTTTCAACTTAGACCAGTTGTTGTTGTGCATAAAGTTGTGAAGAAATGTCTGCAACCTGTTTAGCATAACTGTAAAGATATCCTGAAGAAATCTGTAGGACATCGGTGGGAATTCTGTCAGTCAGTCAGTCAGTTAATCATTCAAGTAGGAAATCGTGCATGTGTTTTTCGTTTTGTGAATACGTATAAACAGATATGGCCCGATAACTTATCTTGCATTCTTCTTTCTAACCACCATTTAAGGTTCAGCAACCATGATGACAAATTAACTTCGATTATCGGTGTATCTGTGCTATCGTTTTCATATTTGAAGAAGTAACAATCAAAACGAAGTCATTTCTTTTGCTTCATCATTCGTACACTGTGATCACTAACAGTAATACAAGTAATAATATCAATAATAAAAGTGATAATAATAATAATAACGATAACAATAATTTATCAGAACCAATAAATCGATGCAATAAACATGAATGTGTAATTTCCAGTTCTCTAGAAATGTAAAATGTCTTATTTATTGCATACTCAACCTACACATTTTCATTTGAATTGCACACAGCTTCTAACGCTTCACAAGACACACAATAAGAAGTAGTCAGTCGTAGACACTTTTCAAGAGAACATGCATTAAGATCAGTCAGTGAAGATAATAACTGAACGTCCAATAAATAAGATATGCATCAATGACTTGTTTGTAAAACAAGCATCCAGCTCATCAAGATTGACACACGGTGTAACCAGTGTGTCAAACATCTTAGCTCGTACACAGTATTATAATAAACACTGAGTGCAGGCAAGCTGAAGAAAGAAAGATATCTGCACTATTGCATTCCACTTGAAAAATGTAACTTCACTATTCGTGTGTAAGAAATACCGCTTTGTTGTTGTTGTTGTTGTTGTTGTTGAATAAGGATAGGTGATTATCAACTCTTGAATGCAACTTGTGATACTGAGACTAACTCACAATATATAGGAAGGAGAGTGATTAAGTTGGCTGACTATTTCGACTGTCACATTATGCGTACTCTGTAGTTGCGAAGCGAAATACATCGGGACTCATTTGACCTCTGGTCAATACCCCTGCATTCAGATCTGAATGTAGACTGATTCTCTTGAGTTTGCTGTTTTGAGGTTGAATTAAGCATCACAGTGGGTACAAATTCTAAAACCCTTGGCAATTATAATAATCACATCGACCCTGTATGTTTGTAGCAGGAAAACTTCAGATTTATTGGTTGAGGGTAGAAGGCTTTGAGCCTATGTTAATCCTTTTCTAGTAAATTTCTGTGGTTGTCCAAACCCTTCTTGAACGAATCAACTGAGGCTGCAGACACCACTTCATCTGGGAGTCGGTTCTAAGAGTTTATGACTCGGTGTGAGAACCAGTACTCAACAGCAATATGATTTCTTCTTTGCTTTTGAACTCTCCAGCTATGTCCTCTAAGGTGTTCCGACCTGGTGGGAAGGAAAAGAGAACTTGTTTCATAACAACTGTAATGATTAACGTTTCAGTGTGACGAAGTTCACATCTTCCGTGTAGTTAGTGACATAGTTGAGGATTTCCGAATACAACCTCGTATACATACACTTCCAAGACTGAACTCCAGGTTACCTTGCATCAATTCGAATTTCCAACAACCTTTACACAAACCAAATTTGGTGAACAAGAATACTTGTCTTATGGGCTCTGGGGACGATGCTCCGAATGAGATAATCTATCTGTTACTGAATAGAGACTTGCTAATAATCCAATATCTTCTTCAGTAACATTCCTAAGTACACTATTGCACTGTGAATTCGAAGAAAATGGACACGTTTAGGGTCCCTATGTTACGCCATTGTTTTCGGTTATCGACACTTTTCACCATTGTTTCTACATTTGACTCGATACGATGCCAGTCTTTCGCAGGTTTGGTATGAACATTAATCTCATATACATTTTTAGATATTTCTTTTCTATATTTTGTGTTCTCATGAGAGTTTGGAAATATATCTATTCAGTAACTGCCTCTTTTCGCTGATCATACAGTTGCAGGTGTATACGTATAAGGACCAGTGCGTGATAATAGTTTACACAGGTTTCCTAACAGAAGCGAAAATCTTCCGATGACCCCAACCATCAATAATTACTTTATGCATTTGTGTACGTCGCCGAATGATTCTGAGTTCGTTAGGTGACGCAGTGTATCTTCGTATGTTTAATGCTAGTGATGAACATGAACAGAGGATTGTATGAACAGAATTGCAGAAGGCAGTCAATCTTTGTTAGTTCGCATGTATGGGACTCCATAGGTGTCAGCAATATGCTCTTCTGACTGACCCGGCTTCCTTACTAGAGAATCGAGATCATTAGATAGAAATGACTACATTTGAGCACTTTGCTTTTAGCAGCAAGCCAGACAGATTTTGACAGAACGCATTATTTACTTCGTTTGAACTGAAGGCAGTATGTGTGTAGGGTGAGATCATGAGGAGACATTGATAGCTACCACAATCATTCCTTCTCATCACATACAACTATCCAGTGGGATCCAGTGAAGAAGCGATTTCCTATATCCAACACTCAATGTTCTTTCTAAACAAGCTAGTGCACACGAACTAGCTGAGGAGTAGTCTCTTGACACTAATAATGTGAATTTCGTGAATTCATGACGTTGGCTTTATAATGTCCAGTGAATGATTACTTCCCGGACGTATGTTGAAATTTGCGGTATTCGCTTGTGCAGGCGTTTGTCTCCTGTTCAGATGCAGAGCAGCTGTCTCTGTTCGCTTCCAAGATTTGCAACGCAGTTCAGGCTGAAGGCGAGGAGTAAAGCTCTCCCCTCGGGTGTGCATGTGGCATCGTTTAACTTTGCTGTGACATACATTACCGAAACCACATTTAGTCGGCCACTAGCGTCAGTGCGAAATAGAGTCCATTCACCGTGGTCGAGATTATCTCTCATCACATTAATACTCCCAAATTCGGACACACGAAATCATCTGAATCACTGAGTCCAGAAGTTATCACGCATGGCCCGGAATCGAAATCAACGTACTCTAATTTCTCCTACTCTAGAAAGTAATAGGAAGTAACGACTGATTCCATGGATGTACTAAAGAGGAGTATACCTACGTGTTTTCATGATCCATTCCCCCAATTACTCGACTTTCTCCCTTCGCATATTGCCGTTTTCTTATTTTTGTGTGACCCATCTCTTTGTGTCAACATGTTAGAATTATTAGGCGTTTTTTGTAAGTAAATAAACCTAATTTTGAGTCAGGTGGTGCGAGTGTGCAAGTCGTCATCGTGCAACCACCGCTTATGTTACCATTTCTCTATTCACCTGATGAACCCAATTGTTCCTATTTAATCTTACAGACTAATGTCGCGATATGGAGTAGTGCAGCCTGAATCGTTAACTATCTGTCTGTCTATTTTCGACATAGAACTTTACACATATGTGCGGTAGTTCAAGTCGCCACACTCCCTCCTTGTAGCACACAAAGCAAGAGAGGAAAGTAGGAAAAATGCAAAATATAGACAGTAAACAGAGGTGTGAGACAAAGGTATAGTTATAACGAAGAACAAAAGTTTAATTGGAAATCATAAGTCATAAGGAGTGGATGCATCTGCGCCATTGAGAACGATTTTGAGCCATGTCACCAATTGTTACCAACCATTGGTTTTTGCCGTCCCGAGGACCCCAACCAGGAAGTCTACACCTTCCTACGTGGCTTAGACTAACTGTTGTAGATTTCATTGACTGGTGCCATGTTTTCGTTTAACCGCCGCTAGCTCTCTCTTTTCCAACCTGACCCTATATCAGATAACATTGCCCGTCGAGGAAGGCGATGATTAGGCATACGTAACACATGTCCTAACCATCTCAGTCGATTGATTTCCCCTCCTTACCTAGCACTCGACGCCTAATCTCGATATTGCTCACCTTATTATACCACTTCACACGGGAGATAGAGCGCAGACACCTATGACCAAAGACGGGGATGGGGTTGCTATCCTCACATCCAACTCTCACCTTTGCGATGACGTAATGAGAAAGATTGCTCCTTTATTATAGTGTTATGAAGTAGTTAACTATATAGTGGGTAAATTTGGAACTGTCACCAATATAGACCTCACAGTTTGATAGTCTGAAGAGGGCATACTGTCTCTAGTAAGCTACTTCACTCAAATACGAGCAAGTCTTTCGCGCCAATTCAGAGGGGAACATTAATGCACTCTCTAAAGTGTGCAACAGTTTAACTTTTCGAAATTAAAAATTCTCTAAACATGAATCCAATGAATCAATATGTAACACTGTAAATGGAATTAGATGTCACAACATGAGTCACTCCTTAACGTGAAGGGGATCAAAGTTGGTGACGAATAGTATCAGGAGCTACACAAATGTAACAGCACGTTCAGAATCGGGACTAGTGTGCTACGTACGCCTATCCACAGTATCTTCCAAAGAAATTCGGGCTGTTATCAAGATTGTTGTGGTTACATAAGATGTAGCTAACTTAACTAGTGTTTCAAGCAGTGACCGGAAAACTCCGACAAAACACCAAGATACTCCTAGTGATTCATATGGCCCATCCTATTTGGGATTCGGGACACCAGTACTCCTATCACACGTGTGTCTATCCGTCTTTCGATACTCGAAGGATTCTTTTCCCGATGTTCAAATAACTGCAAATTTAACTATCTCATTCCTGCGTAATATTTACATCAGTTTTTCTGCATCTCCACAAATGGAATTTAGAAATCTCCTAAATTACGTCATATGACGTGGATCTACGTGACTTTTACAGGGAGGGTATAGTAGTGGTTATGATGCCATAAACCTAGTTTCACGCACCAAGTTCAGTAGTAATTAACGCAAGTGGTGGAGCACACAGCAGACATCCTTAATAAAAAGCTACTTATACCGGTGTGATTACACTGTATTGGGCAAAGGACCAAATGGTGAAGTATCAGTAAGGAATAGACACCGAAGTCATATGTCCTTGAATCTACCAACAAGATGGTCAGGCATTACACGTAGATGGTGTTCATCATCTTCGTGGCGAATTTCACTTAGATGTTTTAACACCAATAATACGACTAGTCCTAGGCACTACCATTCATACACTCGCAACTATCATCATTAGACTAAATTCAATCAAACTTCTGAATTAATAGATCCTATAAGTGGAAATCATAAAATTCTATTGAAGGATTCCGGGCGCCTCTAAAAAAACGTATTATAATAGTAAATGATTTCCGATATGATATGATATACAGCCACTTAGATCCTTAGAACCCACATTGGCTTCATATATCTACAGATACTCCTGAGAGAAACTGAGACCACTTTTTACAGCATCTTAGAGATATATATCCTGTATAATTCAGTTTCATTACATATATGTCTTATGAACACATATTTTTCTACATAAATGCCGCTTTCCACCTCAAAGAATATAATTGGTAGATTCAAGGTCATTTGGCTTTGGTGTCTATTTTTTGCCGTTGCCAGCAACACATGAAAGGAGCACGCGTATTAAATAAATCTGGCAAATACGAATAATAGTAATAAAAATCAGTGCGGCTCATTGGGCAGTTATATGCTTGAAATAAATCATGAGCTGACATCAGCTAGAGAACCATTGGAAAATCTGGGAATCGTTAGCGCTGTGATACTTCCCGACTTGCGTTCAAGTAACAGCCTATATCAACATTATGCTATGCCCAAGCAATATGAAAAGCCCAACGTCAGTGGAGTAAATGTATTAGTACAAAAATTACTAACGATGACAAACAATGTTTTATCTTCATCAATGAATATTAATAGTGCATTTCAAAGACCTTCCATGCTTCGAATTCTGTACAAAGTCACATAATGACGGCTGATAGAATAATCATTATGACCTAGACTCCAGGAGGCGGTGGTGGTGGCTGATTTGGTATCGGAGCTCCGTAGCCGGTTGCATATCCTGCCCAGTAATCAGGTGTTTGCAGGTAATATGGAGCAGCCAGTGCTGAACCTGAAAAAGAAGATGAATACAATTTTGAGAACACTTTAAACATACTCAAAAAGCAAAACATACATCTGTATACACAAAATCCGTATGCACATGTGTATTTGGGAATGGATGGAAAACTTTTGTACAGTCAAATGCGTGGAAATTAATAATGAACGAATTAGGGAGTGGTAGATGTTAGGGAATTAATTCAAGACGACAGATTGATTCCCAAATCAATAGAGCCATCGATTAATACTTACAGTTGAGAACTTCAATTATTGATAAATACTGCTTCAGAAATACCTACCAGGAACGGGTGCAACTGGAGATACATGCGGTGCGGCCTCCCCCCATGACGCTGTAGGTTGCCATGAATGCATTGAGGATCCATTAGTAGCGACTGTTGCCTCGGCATATGATCCAGCAGCTGAGGAGACACCTGTAGGGTATGTAGTAGTAGGGGGAAATCCAGGGAGTGGTGGTGCAACGATACCAGGAGCGGACCAAGGAACAACAGGAGCTATCACTGGTGCATAATTAGCTGGAGGAGGTGGAGGTGGTGGTAGGGTGAATGCATATTGACTCGGAGAGGAAACTGTGACTGAGGCAGCTGAGGATGATATTATGGCAGTCGTCCCATTGGTCCCAGTGTCTCCATCGTCGTCATCGTCAGGTGCTACACCAGGAGGAGGAGGTTGACGAGCTGGACGAGCTGGTTGGGTTTGTAAAGTTCCAAATCCCCTGAGACCTGTAACGGGAGGAAAGTGAAGTGAAGTATCACGCGACATATGAAGAACATCACAAGTGAAATTTGGGTCGAGAAAACTTACAAAATATTCTGAACTATTACGACAGATAGAAATTTTGCATGCAACAATGTGTTGTACAACGGCTGAGAGTAGCGAACTACAAATTTAGTGTTTCCGCAGAAATTTAATCTTGTTTGTCTTGTGGATTGCCAAACGTTGACTGTACTTGTAATCAATCTTTCATGCGCCAGTCACATCACCTGACTTTTCACAGCACACTTTTACTCCGATGACCACTCAAAAATGATGCTTAATTAGGAAGTCCCACATATTCGCCTACATTACTCATTTCGGAGAACAGAGGCAACTAAACTGACTGAGAAGGTAAGCCATGAACGAGAAACATGTATGCGATGTAATACTCTATCACTGGGAAGTTTGATGAGAATTGACAGTATTCCATATTGCAGAGGAAATATAATACAAACGCCCAAGCATTAGCACTCACTTAAATCCTCACATATACACTGGTCAGATACTGCTGAAGTAACAAAATAAGGGTGGACCGATAATGCCAGTTAATAGATTTCTGCAATGTTATTTATGCAGTATAACAGAGCGACCAAATAAGACCAAAAGCAACAGCTGAAGCTAGACGTCGATGTAAATAAGTTCGCGAGTTCGTCGAATCTTGAATCAACGAACATGGTGGACGTTAGCCTTATCCACGAAGTGGTACGTACATATACACTACTTGCAGGGATACGGTTACTAATTATTCATCGAATTTACACACAAACATTAAAAATCAATCGCTTTGCTTAACAATACAACCATCTCTTTGATATCATATTCCAATATAATTATTAACAATCATACCTGGAGGTAATCCTTGAGAACCTGGTCCCACGCCAAGTTCCGCCATCAATGCAGTATATTCGCTATCCATTTTAGCCCTTTCAGATGGATTAGCATTCAGCTGATCGAGATACGCCTGACCACCCAGTAGCGCTTTACAGTCAGTTGACAAATGTCCAGCACCTGGAACAAAAGCAACACACTACATAGAAACGACTGTAAGCAGAAAATGGACATATCAAAGTGTGGATTATGTGAAGTCTACATATGGAAATATTCTACATCTGAATTTATTTGAAGAAACATTCAGCACTTTCACTGTCATAACATTTCACTGTTTTAAGTGTCATGAATGACATTTGTTTGGATTTGTCACAGTCTAATCATCACGACTTTATGTGTGACGGTGTACCTCAAGTTGGGGGAAACAAGAAAGGCTGAACGAATCACAGAAGTACTTCACACTTTCTCGTAAAAATACTGTGGGGAATAGATTCATTGACAGGTTAGAGGAATTCAAATCCACCACGTCAAACTGTATTCACACCTTGTGAAAATAAATGTTAATATGCCGTCTTGAACGTCATGATAAGTTTCCAATGAATTTCTGAAACCGGAAATTACAGTTGCTGTGTAGAAAATATCATATACAGACTAGTTGTCAGAGAATGTTTCCTCTACAACTGTGCATGACATACATGTGATAAAACCAGACCACAATAAATATGACAAGGAAGTCTTTATATCTAAAGACTACGTAAGAGCTGCGCAATTCATCTCACCAAAATAAATACTTTAGTCGCCCTACTTATACGAACTTCTGAGAAAATTCTTCGCAAACACTTGGAATTGAATGTGTGTCACCACTAAAGAAATTATTTCGTTTTGACACATAAGTATTCCTTGCATTGACAAATCGTTGTAGAACTCTGCACAAGGGCACGGCAGTTTTGTGTCATTAATCTTCGAGAAAGCATACAATAGCATAGAAAAGGAAACTAAGAGACTTTAGACGATGAGGTGGGGAAGAGAAAACAGTAAGAATAGTATTATCATTTCCATAATATAACCTATGACAAGGAGTAAAAGCGTATTTTGGTTATGAGACTTAGAAAACGGTTACATGCGATTCGAGGGTAATATGCATCATTAATCCTGTTACCAGTCACAACTTGGATTTACTAATTCAAATATCTTGACATATCCAGAAGCCACCAAGCTGATTTTCAAACCGCCTCCTTTGGGACAATAAAAGCCTCGAGTTACTTATTGTTAGATAGCATAAAATCAAAGGCTTACCTCCACATATACCACACTGAATTTTATTGGTGGCAATTGATTGCGCCTCAGCCATTGCGCGAAGTTTCATCAATCCTTCATGCTCACGTAAAGTTCCATTAAGTAGAGCGAGCTCACGCAACTGGGCTCTGCGAAGATCATTCTGACTTTCTGGGATTTCGATCCCCTGTCTAATAATTTCATTTATTTTCTTTACTGCTTTATCCACGCACTCAGCTGTAGGAGCTGTTATGAAGGCATGGAGAGGCTCATCCTCTCCAGGCATCGGAAGTCCGTCTCTCCGACCAACCTTACCTTCCTTCACAGAACCCTTGCCACGAATTATTACCTTCGCTCCTGTCTGAAATCAAAAGCAATTAGGAAGCATCATAGGAAATTTGTTCTACTTCATTTAAAGTGCAAAATTTAGTTGAGTGGTGTCACGGAGTGTGACACCTTGAATATACAAGAGTGAAGGGTGGTAATAATATGCGTACTTTGGAGGCTATTGGCACTGTTTTGTAGTGCATTTTTCAACATTTATGGAGATAATCGACGCCTCCACTAGTTTACATGACCATGATGGCGTGTGGTAATAGGCAATTGCCATATTTCTTGACTTGAAGGCGGCCTTCGACTCCGTGGGTAGAGGTACTATTGCAATGTTTGACTGTGAAGGGAGTGCCAAGAAAGTATATTGCACTAATCAAGGCACTTTACTCAAACTCACGTAGCCATGTAAGGGTTATGGGGAATTGTCATCTGAATTGATAACAACCAGTGGTGTCCGTCAAGGATGTCCACTTTCTCTTTTTCTGTTTAACTTCATCATAGATATGCTAATGGAAGTATCCTTAACTGAACTTAACGACTTAGGAATCGACTTGTTACCAGGGAATAGTCTTATGGACTTAGAATATGCAGACGACATAGTCCTGTTAGGGGAGGATGCTGACAAAATGCAGAGTCTTCTGAACACATTGAGCAGCAATCTTCGTATGTTTGGCATGCGATTCGCCCCTGTAATATGTAAGATGCTGCTACAGGACTGGACTACGTCAACTCCTAGCTTAGTGATAGGGAGTGAAGTGATAGAACATGTTGACCACTTCACCTATTTGGAAAGTTGTATCAGCACCAACGGATTGATTGGTGACGGAATCTCAGCATAGACCCAAAAAGCTCGGGCTGCTTTCGCGTCGGTGGCACAGTGGTTAGGACTCTCGTCGGCCATGCACATGGTCCGAGGTTCGAGCCCCTGCCGGCGCACACCCGATATCTATGGTCGGCCTGCAAAATTTGGGCCACCGATATCCATGCTGAAAATGCCATACTTGTACTGAAAAATACGGTGTGGCATCAAGCTGTAACTAAAATTTAAAAAAATTACACCGTCTCTGGCGTAGGCGTGACATCCGGATATCAGCCAAGGGACGTGTGTACTGCTCTATGGTGGTGGCCATTGAGAGCGGAAGACATGAAAAGGTTGACTGTTTTTGACCACAGATGTTCACGATCTCTTTCTCGCGTTAGGTGGTATAATAAAGTAAGTAATGTTGACGTTAGGCGTAGAGTGTTGGGCAAAGAGGGAAAATCACTCGACGAAGCTATAAAGTTACATAGACTAAGATGGCTAGGTCACGTGCTGCGCATGCCTAGCCATCGCCTCCCTCGACGGGCATTACTAGCTGATATAGGTGCAGGTTGGAAAAGAGTAAGTGGTGGCCAAACAAAAACATGACATCAATCCATGACAGTTAAACTGAGTCAGGTAGGGAGATGCAGACTTCCGGGTTGGGGCCCTCAGGACTCTAAGAATCAATGGCTGGAGACAATAGGTGACATGGCTCAAAATCGTTGTCAGTGGCGCAGATGTATTCAGTCTCTGTAATCTTTCATATTCCTTTCTACCATTACTCATTCTGTTTCACTCTTATACTTATCTAAATTCTATTGATTCTCTTCACTCATTTTCTTGTCTACCTTTGTGTGCTCTTTGGGACGTGGCAACTCGAACTACTGCACTTCTATGTTGAATCCAGCCAGGTAATAGGCTGTTACAGAGACGCTATTAATTGGTTTTAGCAAAACTCAACTCATGAATTTGTTCAGAAGGGTTTAAAACAAGCGTATATTTTCCTTCATGGTAAAACTAACACTTCAATAATCACCCAAATAAAAGTTGTTTGGCTTGCCGGTATACGTAACATTTTGAGGCCTGATACTCCCCATGAGTGGACAAATATTCTTCACCTCAAATGGACAGTGAAGATAAGGAACTTCGTAATTACACTGTGTAAAGAAGACACTTTTTATTTACCAGTCATGCGGTGAGTTGGATCCCAAGTAGTGAGGGAAGTCTATAAATAGAATCACCAACACAATCCTAGAATGAATGAAAATGTGGTTTTTAGCCACCAAACATTTGGACTTGCTGTTTTTGCTTTGAAGCGAACCACATTTGAGTGCAGCATATGTCAGACGTATTCAGATACACTTTGTACGGATTCATGATCTATATTTCCTATTCTTGTTAATATTGAGATACTCCAGCTTTTGAAGAAATTTTTTTATTCTAACTTATTGGCTGGATGACCTCACAGCTCATGGGTTCCCCTAATCTGGTTGACCGAGAGCAAGTCAGAGATTGAAATTAACCTAGTCCATGACATCCAGCACACGAATCAATTATTACCCAATGTACTTCGTCGTCAGATTCCTCAACACAGACTTATAGGCCTACTATCTAGAAGTCCAATCGTAACAAATATTCAAAGCCACTAAGAACCAATAGTCATTAAGATGCAGATCAACATCAACAAAATATAATTCTACATTCTCATGACCTAAATTGCCACACAAATAACGTTGTGTAAGTGATAACAGGAAGGTAGACGTGTGGACATTAGCAATACGATGTGATTACCTCTCATCAGAATTTTAGTTACTTTGTGGTTTTCATTACTTTCTTGTACTTTCCACACAATTAATGGTACTGAAGTCACCAAACCACCCGATTGTACTACAAGTAATATAGACAGATCCTTCAGTTGGTTATCTATCAACTCGTCATTGTATCAGAAATAACAAAAAACTTTGAAGGCGAAAAACTGTTTCGATCTTTGATGATTTGCCACTTTAGGTGATACGAGAACGTAATGATGAATTTACCAATGCAGTTACTGTTTTTCACTTTGGTATTACAATACATAGCACAATTGCCTGAAGTATGATATGCCAAGTCAAATTAACGTATTTACAGTACATTAATGGTTCAGTTATTTCATTAGGAATACACAAGACACAATTGAGAATTCCACATTTCGGGACAATTGTTTTGGATGGTAGGGTTCGCCAATAAATCGGCATGTAACTACTACTCACGGAGACCTATAAACATCAAGCTATTAATGCACAAATACCCTGGAAGCGAAGGTTTATCAGACTAAGTGCATGGAGTCAGTAAACATGGTTGCATACCCGCCATCCGACCATATGGAAATGAAGAAATCCCCTTTAATTCTAATTCCTAAACACGAATTATAAAAACAGGACTTATGAGTCATACTTACTTCTTTTTCCAAGGCTTTCAGGGTATTTCCGCGTGGTCCAATCAGTAGCCCAACAAAGTTGATATCAGGATGGTTTTCTTGTGGAATAAATACCTTGTCGGTTATTCTATTTTGAGGAGGCCTACAGGGAAACAATCATTTAATAGCTTTTACTTGTAATCAGACGGTGGTTTATATTCCGGATTAATATCCATCAGCTGCTGGACAAGTGCATGACGATCGTCTTCTAGCTTCTTACGAGTTCTATATTCCCTTGTGTTGAGACGTTTACCATCACTACTATATATGGGTTCCGGAGATGGTGATCTGAAAGAGAGATAACTCGTTAGCGAGAGAACACTTCCAGCAGTTAAGCACCAAATGACTAACATTATATACCCTTACCCATTAGCTAATTGTCTGATCCACAGTAAATAAAACCAGCTACATGACATAAAATTCTAAACAAAAGAGTAAAGTGAACGACTTATCTATACCAACCAGTCCGTACTACCTTATGGGAAACCTTTCAAATTATCCTACAAACATTAAGCAGTGCAACAAACAAATGATATCTATGCAACAGTAAAACATATCAAAAATTGCTAACCTGTCTTCAGGATTTTTTGGAATACCCAAATCACCACTTTTCAAGCGTCTGGAAATATCTTCAATTTGGAGCTGGACTACACGGAAGAAGGTTAATAGGGTGATGTACACATACTTATATAAACTTTCTCCTGTTGAGGAGTGAGATTTGGAGGAAGCTGAGTTGGCATACCGGGTATGAAAATTCGGTCTGTCTCAGCAGCAGACCATCTACTTTTACGTTTACGTGGAGTAGGATCTGAGGGAAACCAACTTATTAGGCATTGCATCTAAACTTACCAGGTGAGCCTTGTGGTGACCTACTGCGCCTACGTGACCTCGACGTCGACCCATCTGTAATCTCAAGAATGCGTCTGCTCATAGTCAACCACTACGAAAATGGCTCCCTATAACCTTGCCGTAGTCCCGCTACTTGACGTTTGCAGTACTGTTGTAAACAATACACAATATTCACTCTATTGGACATTTGATTTCATGAGTGAACTGTTGTTCTGAGGTTACTTAGCTAATTTTTTACGTACATTGATTTTATTAATGCATATAAACAGGGTTTTCCTAGTTTACTATCCAGTCTGTAGGTGGGGTTGATGATTCGGTCCTGTTGGACTGAAAGACGCTATAGTCAGTTTCAAGGTCATGGTGGGTTATATAACCTGCGTCTGCCGGTTATATGTTTACGTGAATTCGTTTTCCATTGAAATTTAAAGGCTTTTTTGGACGTTTTGCTTATTTTGTAGTATGTAGGTTAGTTTTTTGTCACTGGATGCTACCATGAAGTTTATTTTTAGCCTGCAGTTCCCAGTTTTTATGTTGGTAGTTAAGGATTATGGTAAATCTGCAATCATTGAGCCAATTCACGTACACTATGCTAATATAGTAACATTTCTCAGTAAGTAAACTACTTAACTGTTCTACCATTGTTGGATAAAACATTGGCAGAACAGTTACGGATTATATGCTTAAACTGGAACTGTACGCTGGTTTATCAGCATGACTGGCACAAATTCAGCACCTTGCTCTTCTTCGACGTATTATCAGAAGTAGCTTATCAGCCTTATTGCAGCCCTTGTAGTCCATGTTCTGCTCATCCCAAGCTTATCATAATGCTGAATTAAATCTCACTAATTTTGAAATAATTCTATAGTAAGTAAATTCTGTATCTCTTCTTAAATAGATTCTTCAGTGGTACAGTCTAGAACTCAGTTCTGGTTTTCAGCATGACTGCCACTAATTCAACACCATGTTCTTTTTCTAGACATTTTCAGGAGTAGGTCAGAACCTACTGGTTTTGCTTATCAGCCCTTATTTAAGCCCTTTCGGCTCATTTTCAGTACGGACTAGCTTTACTTCAGAACAAAAAGACTTAATTTAGCACATAGTGGCAACTTTTCAAGCTTAAATTTGGAAATTATATTTGGAAATTGTAATACAATGTCACTGCAAATCCGTCAAGTTAGGTCCACTGGTAGCATGCGGTAAATAAGCAAAATAAAATATTAGTTGTTGAAACATTGTGCTCATCACATTCTCAGCATTTACATTTAGAAAAGTTTGCTTACATAACTGCCACTGTTATATCCCCTGCTATCTATTCCATTTGCCTAGAAATAAAAACAATGATGCGATTACTACATGTCGTCTTAACGTTAACCTATAAAACGAAGCGGGCGTTTAACAGTATTACCTGAATTCCTTTCTTCAGGTTACGCCTTTGGACACGATCTTTCAAATTATGAAAGTACGATTTCGTGGCCTAATCCATTATGTCACCAACCTCTCTCGATGTCATCAGTTGGTCGCTACAGAAATAAGTACTTCATTAATGAACCTTACATCTCGTGACTGAATTTCGAACATCTGAATATCCCTAAATTCCTTGATTTAAATGGTGTAGTAAAATCATCGCTAAAATCACAGTAGGGTCGAAAGCGTATCCTATCTTCACTTTCCATTTCAACTATATTCCCCGGTTTACCTGAGGCCAAGATTACATTTTCCGGAGAATAAGAAGTAGATATGGCGTTCAGATAAGTTAACTTTCCTTTGCTAAACTTAACGCCCTCAGTACTAGCTTCTTTAGGTACATGCTTGACACCTGTGCTTTTCATTAAGTGCACGTGCTCAACATAACGCTGAGCTGCATGCTTAGCCACAGCATATCCACAGTGCACGGACTGTCTGATCATGCGCATATAGGATTCAAAGGGAAATGAACTGAATCCTTCTAATGACCCATGCAGCTCGACGTCATCCACTATACGTTTCAGAGAATGAATATTGTAAACAATAAACCCTTTAATGATCCTAAACAATTTGCATATAAACATGGTAGAAGTACCTTGGATGCTGCGGTTGTCTTATATCATAATGTTGTTTCTTGTTTAGACAAAGGTGCCAAATATGTTCGTGGTGCTTTCCTAGACTACACATATGCTTTTGACTCTGTACCTAGGGGCCTTTTATTAAATAAGCTTTCGTTGACGCACACAGGATCCTGGGCTATGAGTTGGTTGCATTCTTATTTTTCTGATAGAATGCAGTATACTGCATATAGTGGCAAATCTTCTGCTTTGCTTACAAAAGCCGGTGTTCCTCAAGGTGCTGTCCTCTCTCCTTTTCTTTTTTCTTTCTTCTTACACGACCTGCCTCATTTAAACGAAACTAACTTTGTCAAATGTGCTGATGATCTGACTGTATCACTGCCTATCAATTCCGAGTCTGACTGCTCCAAACTTAATAGCTTTCTGTTGGATATCAGCAAGTGGTCTAAGTCAAATGGTCCTATGTTAAATCCTTCCAAATGTCGAGCAGTTAACTTCACTTTCAAGCATCGGTGTGACATACTTGAGCTAGTTACTTCCCATGATGGTTGTAGCATAGATGGCACTGAAATTGAAACTAAGTCAAGCATTAAATACCTTGGGTTAGTTCATTCCTCTGATTTTCATGGTCATCCCAGGTTTTATCAATCTCTAAGAAGATGTTTCGCCTTACCTTCTACATTAAAAAGTTAAGACAATCAGGTATCAACCAATCTCTAGTTCTGCAATTTTTAAACTCCTGTATTTTACCTATTGTACTCTATTGCCCTCCATTAATCTTTCCTGTGCTTCTCAAAAAAGACTATGTCATATTACGAAGGGTATTAAATGATGTGAGTAGAGCTTGTGGTTTGCCACTGCGTGAGCTCACCAATACTATGGTCGAGAGACACATAAATTCCTGTACAAAGCGGGCAAAGGCCGTACTGTCAGACCCTCTGCACCCCCTTTATTCACAACTATCCCCTTGTATCTCATCAGGTAGGACGAAAAGTCAACTTAAAAAGTTATATGCCCGAACCACTAAGTACAAAAATTCTACAATACCGTATTTAGCCCGTATTTTGTGTGATGAAGACTCTGTTAGACGTGAAACATATAAGTTACTATGTAATTAGTAAAGTGAGTCGACCCTTTCATTGTTCATCTTTCTGTAATTTTATGATGTCACCCTTTCTATCGTTTAATTGTAACTTTGCTATTTTTATTTTAGTTGTTATTACTATTATTACCATAATTTTATACTTTATGCATATTTTTCTACTTATTGCATATAGTAATTTGCTAAATAGCTGCTATAAAAACGTTTTGTTATCATTATTATGTAATGTTTAATTTTATTTGGTTTTTGTTTGTTCTTTTTGTCGTTTTTGAGTAAATTAGATGCAATATTGTACTGAATGCTGAAAATTCCTTGCTGTATCATTAGTACTGTTTTTGGAATAAAGCAAATTATTATTATTATGTGTTCATTTCTGAAACAGTTCTCATATTGCAGTAAGAAATTACTCAAATCTCTCCGAAGAGCATCCAAAAACAGTCGGCTGTACTTGGTACTCGAAGTAAGTATACTGCCATGGAATATTTCCTATAATTATCGTACAGAGGAGGTAGGATGTTCCTGAGTACGCGAGACCCAAATATAGTAGCTTTTTAGAAGGACCAAGGTTATTTCATTACATACTGGGTTCATTTCAAGTAGATAAAATATTCATTTACCGTAAAAAGGCATTATTGACGCGTTGGTTAGATTTTGCTGAGAATTGTTGCAAGGTTGGTCTTTTAAGCGTCCCAAACTTACTATACTATACCTCCAAAAGTGCATTCATACCTCACAGACGTATATTCCATAGGACCAGATGGGTCTTTTTTACCTGAATCAATCCGATAGGATGTGTTGGATTCCTTTCAAAGAAATAATGAACAATTTGGTAGTTACCTTCATAAATGTACCAAAAGCTTGCTTAAGTTGCACCCAAGTATAAAATACACAACTGAGCATTATTCTTTGGAATATAGCCATTACATCAGACAATATAGATGACACATTTCGTGAAGTAGAGGCTGCAGAAGTATTTTTTAACGTCATGTAATGGTTTTAACAATGACTAACGAACACAACATTATAATTTCAAGTAAATGAATAATCGTATATATTTCAGTGCTCATAAACCACTGTTGTGACCTAGTAAATTTAATTGGTTTATGCTGACCTAATATACACAAACCCCACAGGACACTAAATTGACAACTTAAAAAGTGGATCAGCTAATACATGCATATATCTATATGTCATAACTAAAGACACATTAAATGTTTAGAAATTGTAGTTGAATTATATTCACCTAGTAAGCAAACATGCATACATCCTATTTTGGACTTAAAATAAATGCATCAAAATTACTGTTAATTTATATTCACTTACTAGACATTCTCATACATCTCAATGTACTTTAAATACCACCAATGCATCCAAATAGCGTGCGAATATCACGCTACACTCATACCAAAAAAAATTAACACGCCATTATATTATGGCAAGGTAAGCCTTAAACTATACTGGCTGTAAATTTCCGTGTCAAAATAAAAAGATTGCCGCTTTAACTTATATTTTAGACCAATAGCAAGCCAGCTAGCCAACAGCCAATCAAAATCTGCCTAGAAGCAAACCATTAGTACCATAAACTTCAAGTGACAGAAAAAAGTAGGCCTAAATTCCACAGGAATCGGGGAGAACGAATGACAAGTTCTGATTAAAGGCCTTGGTAATCCACTCTATGAAAATATAATTAAAGATTAGGATATGAAGTAGCTGCACGATGTTTAAGGCTACAGGCATCTCAGAAGAAGTGAGCAGGTATACACTCTCTGTGAATCCGTGAGAGCATAAGTGATAGAGTTGTGTCCTTCAAGTAGTTGACTGGACAACCAATGATCTACTTCAGCTAACCAGGCGACAACCAAGAGCACACTTGGTATATAACCATCATGAAGTTATCAGCAACATCAGAGGCTCCCACTCAGTTGTAATCGAACTACCCTGGGATTGCAGTAGCAAGATTTAACTGGAAAGAAAGGCTACCGATATCCATGCTGAAAATTCCACACTTGTACTGAAAATACGGTGTGGAATCAAGCTGTAAATCAAAATAAATAAATAAAAAAAAAATAAATAATAC